CATGGGCTGCACCACGGGCTGCCAGGGAATCTCTGCTCTGGCACCTGGAGCACCTCCTTCCTCTCATCCTCTCATTCTCCACTGACCTGGGGGTCTGCAGAGCTGTTCTTCTCACATATCCTCACTCATCTCTCTGGCTGTTGCTGCACAGTCTTTCCCCGCCTCCCCCCACCCCCCCATCATGTCCTTCTGAAACGCGTTATCACAGAGGCACTACCCCTGATGCTGATGGTCTCAGCCTTGGCCAGTGGTGGGTCTGTTTTGGAGCCATTTGGCATTGGCTCTGTTGGACACAGGGCAAGCTTCTAGCAGCTTCTCACAGAAGCCACCACTGTAGCCCCACCCAAAACATTGACATAATTTTAGAAACGGGCTGCCCAGGGCAGTGGTTGAGTCACCATCCCTGGAGGTATTTATGAGACATGTGGATAAGGTGCTCAGGGACATGGTTTAGTGGTGTCATTAGCAGTGTTAGGTCAAGGGTTGGACTTTGTGATCTTAAAGGTCATTTCCAACCTAAAAGATTCTGTTAAATTTGCACAATCAAGCACAGATGCAGTTCTCCTTCTATTCCCTCCCCAGCTCTGCAAGAAAAACCTAAAAAAACCCACCCCAAAACAACCTTAGGTAAACCAACCAAAACCAACCAAAATCCTTTCTGGACTATTTTGTTTTCTAAAACAATCTTTCTCCAAGTTTGAGAAGGTATCTTAAAAGAGATCCCATGTTTTAATTCCTTGTTATGGGAGAGAAAGCAGTACTTCTCCAGACATCATCATAATTCATTCACATTTCTTCTTTTGAAATGGAGGCTAAAAGTGGTTTTGTTTCTGAATAACAGAAATTATTTACTTCAAAAATCAGCCAACCATAGGTGGTTAAAAGCTCAGCAGAAGCCTGCTTTTAAAATCAAACCTTTGTCCCCTTCATGTAAGTGCCAGGACTAAGGAATTCTTCAGAAAGTTCTAAATTTTTATTAACTTCCACTGAAGCCAGTAAATCATCATTTACTGAAACACTAAGCATTTGGGATATTCAACCTTTATGCTAACTAACTGGACATATCTTGAAATGCAAAATATGCCAAATATTGTTTGAATGTAATCAAAACTTCCAAATAGATCAACGAGAGCGAAAACACCAGGATGAAGCCATTTCTGCATAGATGAAAACCACTGTTTTAATTCCCAACATAACTGATGTATTAAAATGAATTTGCTAACATCTTTCAAGATATCACGCTAAAGATAAACTTATGTTTCTTTAATATGTCAGGTTCAGGAGTTCATGTTTATTCCATTAATAGCTGCTATAATCACAACAAAGGCCGACACTACTATTGTTATCAGCCAACAGTTGATGGCATTATAACAAGAAAAAAAAGAATAAAACACTCACAGAATGAACCAAAACCTTCCTTTTGATTAATTTTTCACTTTCAAATAAGAGGGCAGCAACATTACACAAATTAGATATTTATGCTAAATTAAATATGAACAGATGGAGTGATATTTTAGACTTCCCGTCGGTGGCAGCAGTATTTGAAAACTCCTCTGTTTGCTTAAAAAGAAATCTATCAAACTTACCAGGTATGATTAATTTATCACATTTAGGTATCTTGTCTTTCATTTTTTCTTCATCTTCATTTTCCGCTAACACAAAGTAAGAAGTGATTGGCATTTTCATTTGAAGCAACAATATAATTATATTTACTAAAAATGTGCCCCGTACAAACACAGGTTTGTCTATATTCAAATTATGCTAACTGTTGGAAATTAGTCTAGCCTGTACACCAGTTTAGAGGATTCAGTAAGTAATTCATGCTGCCAGCCCCCACAGCATCCTGCCCTGGGACACTAAGAGTTGTTTGCCTATACAGCGGCAGTATGCACATGCATACACAATTTTAGAATGTGTTCAATTCTAAAACTGCTGTCCTGACCCTGGCCTTGCCTCCTGCCAAGTATATTATTCTGCCGAAAACAGGGACAGGACTCAGAATGGTGGGTAGAAATGTTGTACAGTAGTATGGTTAAAACAGTTTCTGCCACTGTGTCTGCTGTTCTGAAGAGTCAGTAAAACTGCCTGAAGAGCATCAGCTGAGCATGATAATTTACAGCCCAGCATATTAAACTGAAGAAGGCTGGTCCTGGTTTTTTTTTCCTTCAAACTTCATGATGTAATTTACACATAGAGATGATTCTTGCTCTTAGCGCATGGACCATTCTTTGTATGTCACATGGCTCCTCTGAAGTCCTATCTACTGTAGCTGATGTAATACACTCCCTTTAATCTGGCTCACAAAACTCTTACTGGTGCCCTGGCTGGATCTCCGCATTAAGCAGCCCTTAAATACTATGAAGAAATTCTGCCTTGGAGCTTCCCTGAGGGGAGCAGACCAACACAAAACAAGAATGTGTCCTCCGTATTTGTGCATTTACTTAGTACTTTGTCAGCCAAGACAGTCTTGAAAACTATTTTGTGCTTCCATTAAAGTACATTACAATCCTCCTTACATTTTAAGCACCATGTGAAAACAACTTTGTGTCCTACACTGCAGTCATGACACTGCTGATGCTGTTCAACTAATACATCACTGTGAACAATAATGATAATGACGATATTAGCATCAATAAAAACAAAAGCAGCAGTACTTACAATTAAAAAGATCTTTTGCCTGCTCATATGTCTCTGGGAACCCATCTAAAACATATCCCTGATTCCTACAAGGCATAGATTTGAGCTTATCCTTCACAAGTTTAACAACATACTGATCATCTAGATGACCTAAGACACAAAGAAGATTAATAGGTACCTGGTTTATGGAAAAGAGATAACTGAAATTATTTTTCTAACATTTTAATTCATTTATCAGAGAAACTTCTATTTAGACACTAAAAAATTTATATATTTTGAGTTACTATTTGAATATTACATGTTGTCAGCAATCTATGGAATATAAATGTGTAGCTGTAAAATAAAATTACATTTCTGTTAACATGGATATAAATATTAGAACTTAAAGGATACTAAACATGAAATTATTTTTTTTAGAATCATGCAATCAGATTTTAATAGAAGCAGCAAAGAAATATTTATAGAAAAAAATGGGACAGCAATCATTTTCTATTTACAATTAACAGTAAGACTTAGAGATAGTCTTGCAAAACAAACATGAGGTAGGTTTTACAAATCACATTTTCAGATGAATAGACTGAGATATGAATTGGTTTATTAACTTGGTCTACACTGATGAGCAAATGAGGAAAACTGACTCCAGTTTCCTACTTTACTCCGCTTCGGCTTTTTAAAGTCTTAAATATTTAAACCATTGTAATCATAAACATGTCTTACTATTCTTAAAGGCATTATTATTTTAAACAACAAAGCAAGGCATGCAAGGATGCTGCCATCGATCTCATTACTGAAGCTTTTGGGTGTGTTACAAGCTCATTGCTGACATACACGATCCAAATCAGGTGAACCTTTAGTGACAGAATGTATCTTTAAGGAGGATCACTGTATAGCACACAGAAAATGCTAGTCACTACATCATAAACCACATGACTTAATTCATATATAGGTGATATGGCAATCTTTATGGACCTTTTTCAGTCTGCAGACATTAAAACTCTTTACAGGCTTCTGTAAATACTATTTGCTTTTTCGATATGGCCAAAGGGAGGTAAAAGGTACTTAGAAAAGAAACACAATCTCATATGACAGTGCACTAATTATTATTTTTTGACTAGAATACTTTTCTTCATTGCAAATTTGATAAAGATATACTTCACTAACATACTACTTTAACTTATATAAAGTACACTCCCTGTTTTGAGAAGAAAACATGATGTTATTTAAAAATTTGACCAAGAATCTAATGGTTCTGAATATACTACTGTTACTTATGTATCAACTTAGAAGGCAAGAAGAATCATACAAAATGTATAAAAAGTAGAAAAAACAAATTTCTACAATTGAAAAAGCACCATGGTACTTAAAAAATATATCACTTTTAATATACATGGTATGTCATGTATATTAAATACAAACACTGTATTTGATTTTAAAATAAGGTACATAAAAATGGACTGAGCATGATTCTGGCTCTTAGTAGGATGTAAAAGTTCTAAAGCACAAATTTATTTCCTGATTTTCAATTTGCATGTTTGCATTAGTTACCTAAATCCCACCTTAGTACTTTGTATCTTACCTGCATTCTGCTCCATGCTTTCTTTTATTCCAGCTAATAACTCATGTGCTGCTTCTGCATTTTTACCCTCCTCCTCTTCATCATCTTCTCCCTCTTCTCCCATGCTGTTGGAGTCCAGTTCTTTAGGAGCCACAATTTTCTCCTGAAAACAAGATCAGAAATATGAATAGGCTCAGAAATTCCACAGCCCAATTCCTTTTAAAGTCAAAAGTAATAAAAAGAAAACAAAACAAACAAAAAAATTTAACTTCATCTATATTCCTGGACAGTGAGATACTGAGCAACCGATTTTTATGTCAAAAATACTGAGACACTGATCTTCATGTCAAAAGATATTTGCATTCTAAAATAATGCAATTATAACTAATTTTTAAATTCTGCCAAACATTTTAAAATCACAGAAATTAAAATAATAACTATATTAGAAAACAACAACACACCAGATTTGTTATTGTTTCAGAAATTACATCATTTATCTTAATGTGATGCAGCTTGTAGTGCTTGCAGAGCTCTTCAGCAATGGTAGATTTACCAGCCCCAGGAGGTCCATGAATGCAAATTTTGAGAGGCTGGAAAAAATATATAAAGATATAACATCATTCAAACAGTAGGGATATTTTTATGTAAAAGGAACAATATTTTAATATTACTAATACAAAATAAATAATATAAATAAAACTGAAAATACATTTTCGTTTTATTCACACCAAGCATGTATTTTCTCACTGTGAATCTCCTATATCATCCACAGGCTTTAAGTAATACAGTTAATTAATCTAAATGTACAGCTTCACCACTGGAGAAAAAGCACATTTCTATTTAGTAGACCAACTTATAGTGGCACTATTAATGTTTGAATGAACAAAAGAGAAGAAACGAGGTGGCAGACAATTTACCATACACATGCAATATCTCTGTCTCCCAACTGAGGTAGAGTTGCTGTCACCACAATGGTTATTTTGACCTCAAAAATTTCAGCTCCATCACAACCTTAAGATTGTATTTCTCATTTCAGCCTACCTAGCCTGTGGATGAGTAAGTGTAATTAAGATTCCAGTATACACTTACTAAATATATTATGCAACAAACTCAGAATTCTATATCATTAACTTCCTATCCTAATTCAGTAAATATGAGAGTGCAAACTCTGCAAACTGAATAGTGAGAGAGACAGAGGTCTAGCTAACCTTCCGTCTCCTTGCTGCTGGCTACCTTTCCCTCTCCTTGCCACTTGGTGTGTCTATGGTTTGTACTGAATTGTTTGAATTACATGCATACATCCTCAGATGCAGTAGTTCAACCCAAAACCAGATATGATAATCCTTTCAGAGGTATGCAAAGACTTCTAATGGGCAACCTTCAACGACAGTAGTTGTATTTTGTTTCACACCTTCTGAACCCGACCTTTGTTCAGAGTTTGAACAACATTTAGACAGGCTGAACAGCTTTATCATACCAATAAGTACTTCAGTATATGAAAGCATTTTTCTGCACCTTTAGATAACTACTTCCCAATACACTGGAACAGAGAAGCTCTACATATTAAGCAAACATAGGAAACAGGAAGGTTACTCAGTACATTACACAATAGAGCAGGGTGAAATGAAAGTACATTACAATTGGATAACCTGGCTCACTAAATGTAACGGACACAAAATACTCACCTAAGTACAGACTATTATAAAAAATCTTAAATAAAAGATACACTTACTG